CTTCTCCGTCTTGTACTACCCTGACAGGTCGATAGTTTCCTTCGTACATGAACTTTTCCACTGAGTTTGCTTCTGTAACAAAAGGCCTATGATCGGCCTGTACCACCTCTGCTTCGCCTTTGTCATTCCAAAAGATCAGGCATTGATGGAGCGACGAGGGTATACAGCTACTCCCGTGTATCCAATCTTTTCCTAGGAGCACATTGTAACTAGTAGGACCATCTATTACAAAGAAGACAGTAGTCCTAGTAGTCGTCCCTATAGTTATGTCCAATGGCATAACTCCCTTAGCTGAAGTTGCTCCTCCATTGAAGCTAGTGAGGATGACTTCTGTAGGAATCATGTCACCCTCTGTCTTTACGAACTTCCTCATCATCCTAGATGGAATGGTGTTTATAGCTGCTCCATTGTCGACAAGCACTTTTACCACTGGGACGCCGTTAACTAGAGTTTTAACGTATAATGGCCTCAGGTGTTTTGTCAATTTCATGGCTGGCCGTTTAAAAATAACCTTTTCGGCAGCCTCTATTTCTACTTCCTGCTTGTTTTCTGTTGAATTATCCCCCTGTGACAAATCAACGTGCAGTATATCATGATGATCCTCTGTCTCCTAAACTTCCTTCCTACTTCTTTCTAATGCTTCCTCATCAGTTACCCAACCTGTTGGAGGGGGCATTATTCTTGGAGGTGACCCATACTTTTCAGAACGAGGCACTCTCTTCTTCCTTTTGGGTGTCCCATACAGTACGTAGAAATCAAAAGGACGCCCAGATGGTTTCCCCAATAAGTCTACTTCGCGAACTCCCTCTTGATGTAGTTGCTTAAACAGAGTATTGCGCGATACTCCTCTCTTTTTTCTTTCTGCTTCTAAGTCAATTTCTTTTTCGATGTCTATCATCCCGTTGTCCTCTTCATCGTTGTAAGCCTCTCCAGAAGTCTGGCCTTCTTCACATACCAGCACACAGGCTTCTCCTTCGTTGTCCTCCCTCTCTTCTTCCTTTTCTTTATTTTTGAATTCGTTGACCAGTAGGTAATTATTGGCCACGACAGGAGGTAACGTACCGAATTGGATAGCAAGGGGCTGATCTGGATCTTCTTCATCCCTTTTGTCTCGCTCAAACCTTGATCTCCCGGAAGAGATTTCTGGCAGTTCCTTCATTGATTCATCTGTACCAGTCTCTTTACTACCTTTGAGGACGTTTTGATTGGCTACCTCGAGTAGTTTAGGCGCTTTAGGATGTGGCACTCCCTGTTGCTGCCTCATCATTCGTCCGTAGTTTCGTTGAAAACGCCTTTGTTGTGTCCTAGTCATTTCATCGAAGGGTATTGCCCTTCCTGCATTGTGCTGGAATGAATGCCATACATTTGGCCGGCGAGGTTGAGGCCTGAATGTTCTTCCATTCTCTGCTGGCCTAAACTGCTTCTTAAAAGGCGGTCCTCTATAGAATGATGTACCTAGCCCTCTACCAGGCCGAGTGTTTGGAAAGAAGGTAGGGCGATAAGGATGCAGCCATGTACCTGGTTTCTCCGTATTTCCATTCTCTTCTCTTTTACATCTTACACACAGGACGTCTTCGTCCTTTTTTGGTTCTTTCCCCTTGATTCGTTCGAAGACACTGGGATGTGTTTTAGTATCCTCTTCTCCATCATCTATGACTAACTTGAATTTTAGCAACTTGTTCTTGAATCCAGATGTTACCATGTTTACTCCAAGTGGCTGTGGGAAAGGATTTTCGTCCACTGCCATCTTTTTCTTATCATCGAACGTAATTCGTCCTGATTCAATGGCATCCTGCAATACATGACGGAAAATCAAGCAATTGTTAGTCAAATGTGACCATGCATTATGCCACTTACAATATTTTTTACCCTTAATTTGTTCAGGGTTTGGCAATTTGTGCTTATCGCTCAGCTTTATCTGCTTATCCCTATATAATTTATCGAATATAAGGTCAGCTTTGGTCACGTCGAATGAGAACGTTCTAGCCTTTATGTTTCCATCTTTTATGGGCTCATCTTTATCCGATGGTCTAGGCTTGGCCATTATGGGACATGTATATGTATCCCCTTTGATCAATTCGGCCAAACACATTTCGGCCTGATCGTATAACTCGTCGTCGAAGGTATGAACGTCAAAATTTGGGTCTTTGTAATAAGTCTCTTTACTAGAATTTTTCATTTGTTCTTCCTCTCTTATTAATCGTTCATACCTAATCACATTCGCACTTAACTGGAAAAGGTCAGGAAATTCCTTGTCCTGAAACTTCTTTTTTAAATCAAAGCTCAAGCAGCCCTGAGCGATCTTGACAAATTCTTTTTCGGGCAGAGATACAAAACATTTGCTTCTTGCCTTCTTGAACCTTTGGAGAAAACTTTCTGCCCATTCGTTTGGCATTTGACGTAGATTCGCCACATCAGCCAAAGTGACTTCAGACTCAGTTTTATAAAACTGAGCGTGAAACAACTGTTCCAGTTGTTGCCATGTTTGAACAGAATTCGCTGGCAAGTTGATAAACCAGGAGAAAGCTACTCCTGTTAACGAACTAGGAAAAAGTCTCATTTTATGGTAATCGGTTACATCACCACTTTGCAACGTGAATCGCCCTATGTGTCCCAGAGTAGACACCTCTCCTAAACCGGTAAATAGTGAGAATTCTGGCACTTTGTACCCTCTAGGCTATGGATATGCTTGGTCTACCCAATCAGGATACGGCTTTGTGTACGTCGGCTTAATGACAGAACGCACCCCAAAAGCCATCTGATCCTGTACGATTTCCATAATCTGGTTCCTCAACATGACATTAGGATCATATGGAATTCCTACAGGCTGATTAACCGGTTGATTTGCATGAGACCTGATGTTTGGTCATTGATTGGCAACAAAATTACCATAATTAGAGCCATTACCATTAGCCTTGATATCTGTTCCCTCATTACCACGTGGGATATTCTGTCCATTGTTTAGGACATTATCTCTCACGTTTGGATTACCCCCCAAGTTAGGCATACTACTACCATTATTCTGATTTGGCACTGTAATACCTCCTTGGTTTGAAGTAGAGGGACCAGAAAGCGGTTCTACCCTTTGACTCGGATTTAGGACCAAGGGATTATGTCTCACAATTGTCCTAGTTTGAAAATGGTTTGTAAGAGGTATAGCCGGTTGACATATTTGGCCTACTAACTTATTCATTGTTTCGTTCAATGTCTTTAGTTGTTTGGCCATATCGTCATAGTGTACATTCCCATTTTGTGTAAATCTTTTCATATTATGAATATTTCGAAGATTTACCTGTTCAACGACGTCTTGCGTGAGTTTTCCAAGTAATGCACGCATGGTTCGAGGACTCAACTTCGTCATTGGTTCGTAACGACTGTTACTGCTCTGATTCTGTCCATCTGTTCATGGAGAGGCATGCTGCTCCTCATATCGCTCGATCACAGACTTGATTCCTCCCTGACTTGCTCCTTCCTTGTCGGATCTCTGAGGCATATTGTTTCACCTTTTGTACTTTCAACACCTAAAACCACTGTCCCACTGGGCGTGCCAAATTGTTTCGCGCGGGTTAGTCACTAACAATTAAAAAGGATCAGAAGATTGTGTAAGGGACAAAACCTCTTGAGACAAAGTCCCAAAAAGGGGTGTTCTTTGATTGGCGATGAATTTTACAATTGGAAATGAAAAAACAACGTGCCTCCAAGGGGCACAAGCACACGAGTTACTGAAAGAAAAGTGTTTAAGTCTAAAAACTAAGGAAATGAAAATTACGTGTTCTTTGTTCGAGAGTTTTTGATTCGGTCTTTTGCTTCTATGTCCTTTCTTCTTTTTATACTTCATGGACAATCTCTTTGTGATCAACTGTCCTAAAAATTGCTTGATCGTCCTATAACTGCCCACTTTCTTCGTAATGGCCAACTTGTCACGAAAACTGCCTCCTTTAACTACTACCATTACTCTTCATCGTTCAACTGCTTTCGATTGAATTCCTTGAATCGTGGAACGTGATAAGGCTGCTCTAATAACTGCTTTGATAACTGCACTTCTTGATAAGCGCGACGCTTTATGTTTGTTAAGACTTTGGACGACTTGAAGGTTTGGGCGAGAATGGAGTAACAGCTCTGGGCGACTGTGTGACACTCCATTCGCTCAGATTCTGGGCGACTTGCAAACTTGGGCGATGGTGTCACCGTGTTCTTGAGACTCCTTATTTGGGCCTTCATCTTGATTTGTTCGATTAGGCTTCATTCTTTGGGTTATCTGATTTGGGGATCCTCCAATTAGGCTTCACTCCTTGGGCTGTTCGATTTGACCTGAATTTTTATGTGTCAAAAGGTACCAAAATAATTATGTTCCTGGCTGTTTTTCTTATATCCAAGTATAATTGAAGGCAAAGAGATATGATTTCGCTTAATATTTATTTTATTGAAGTCTTTCAGTAGCTTATTTCAATCGTCTTCTTGCCCTGTTTGGCCCCCATTACATATCATCAAATTAAATTAAATTTTTCTCTTTCCTATTTTTAATTACACAATCTTCAATTAAATAATATTACACGTAAATCGAATTTTTTTCATTCTTTTACAACCATTTATTTAAAAAAAAAAACTATTCCCCCATTGTAATCAAAATTAATGGGGGCCAAATGGGACATAAAAAAGCGATCCATTGAAAGACTTAAAATAAAATTATATTAATACAAAAAGAATTTAAAATATTATTTATTTTACTAATTATTTTTAGTACAACATAATAAATATGCATTAAATGTACGAAGAAAAAATAACTACAAAAATGATAAAATCGTATAAAAATCAGCTCATTTCGCTACATATACATCTTAATATCATTTCTTTTTGCCTTCAATAATATTTGAAGATGAGATGTAAATTTTATGTTGAATACTGTCAACCAATCATAATTGCCCATTCAAAAATGGTTCTAACAATAACATATTTTGTGATGAAAGCTAAAAGAAAGAATAAAAATAAATAAATAAATAAATCCAAACTTCAAATGACCAATAAATGTTCCATTTTCTCTCCAACCGTTTTTTAAAAAGACACTACCAAACCACTCCTTTAGTCCTTTTTGGCCTTCTCTTTATTCAATTTCGTTTCTTTTTCCCAAATGGCTCAAAACAATTCGAGAACATCCAATATCGTGAATGAAAGTGAAACTATTTCTTTCTTCCTATGATTATTGTTTAATTACACGATGTCTTTGTTTTATCCCAGATTCCCCACAAACAAATTAATAATGATATACCAATCCAGTGCCAGAAATTTAGATAAATAAAAAATTCTGGTACATGAAGAAAGAATCTTCCAAGAAAACTGCTCAACGTGTTGAAGTTTATCTTTAATTACATCCATCAACGATGCTCGTTTTCTCCCCCGTTGATTTTGTACTCCCATTTGTCAATGAATATGATAGATAAGTTAAAAATAAATTATTGTACTTTCTTTTTTTAGAGTCTATGTTTTGATTATATGAGAGTAGACTCTTTCAAGATATCTCTGTTTCTTGAATTGTTATCAACTTATTTTTGGTGGGATTTGCTTATTTTTACCTGGATTCTCTCCATTCAAGACTTGCCTTCTGGAATTCCAACTGTTTGCATTAGATAGGTAAAGCATTTCTAATTTCTATGCATGATTTTTATTTTATTTTTCCTCCTGAGATAGCACGGCATTTAAATAATTTTTTGTTCTTGTATTCAGGAGGGCCTAATTGGTATGAAATCTTGAATTTGGGTTTCAGGAGTTTGTTTCAAATGTGATGGGTAATCTTAATTTGGGGATTCTTTATATATGTAAAGTTGATTATTTGTTCGCCTGAATTTGTTGGCTCTTATTATTAATTGTTTCTTTCTTTTGAATAAGAAGTGTACAATATTGGAATTTGTTTGTGATCATTGAGGTTTTTCGGATTGGTTAATGAATGACAACTAAGGATATTTATGGAGCTTAATCATATAGATGGTGAGGGAGAGGAAATAGATAGAGAACCCTCTTTACCTAATAATTCTAGGGAAAATCGTTATCCTCATTCACGTTATCCTGTGAGGCAAAGGGCTTACATATTTGATGGAGATGGGAATTACTATAACAAGGAATGGGACCTTGCAGAAGGTAGAGGGAAAGAGTTTTGTTGGTACCATGTCGAGCTCCCGAAAGGGAATCAGAAACTGTCACAATCCGCACAATACCTTATTGACGTTCTATGCCCGCCCTTGAAGCTTCAAGACATTCTCTCACTTATTAGTAATGGACCCTTTTGTGGGCACGTCGATGGTGCTCTTGTATTCAGAGTTAATTCACCTGGCCCGGCTTCTAGCAAATTTACATTTAGAATTGCAGCAAGAATTACTGAGAATTCAGTTATCACCGTGTCATTAGGACGTGTCCCAAGATTGGGCTTCTCGCCAGCGAATGAGTCTCTTCTTTCGGAGATTCCGGCTGTGGAGAGTCCGGGTTATGGCGGTAGGGAACATAAAGAAAGGGGTGGGATTGTGATTAGGGAACACGTTCTTGATTTCCTCTTGACAATGAATCATTCTGAGGAAGCAGATAATCCAGTGCCGAAATCAGTGTCAAATCTTGTTGTTCACATAATTGACACGCACATCGATCACCTCCAAGATGTTGTGACCAATCTTGAGATCGAGTTGGATTCGGTGGAATTTGAGATGGATATAGGTATGTTCTTCTCATTCTCTATATGTAATCCAGGCCATAATTTTTGTCCCAACTTGTTGCTGCTATACAATGATGTGTGTAGATATCAGAAGATTGCTATATGTTCTTCATTATAGATTGTTATGGTTATGTCTCCTCCTTTTCTTTCCTTCATTCCTATATAGTGATTCTTATGGTCAAGGAAAGAAATGATACTTGCAGTTGTAGATCACATTTTCCTTTTATGGAAATCCATTGCATGGATTTGGGCATTATAAAATTTTCAGCTGGTTAGATCTAACTGAATGGGTAGGTTCATTTTTGCCCTATATTTCTTGTTCGTTGTAAGTATATTTCGTATTTGCAACTTGGAGCTTAAAGGATGGAGTTAGCCGGCCATCTGACCTGCGTATAGACCTAATATTTTTCTTATTTTGGTATTCTGACTTTGCTTAAAAATCTCTGTGACATAGATCATATAGCTGGCTACCTCTATTATACATGAGAGAATTTATGAGGTTTTATCAAAAAACGCCCTTCTAATTGTTGCCATTATACACAATTCGAGATGGCAGGGTGATCCCTAGTTACTGTGAAATATTCAAATAACCATATTTTACAAGGTTTGTTTAATAGTACTACTTCCACTGAAGGACAAAAGGAAAAATCAATCCAAAGAGAACAAACTAGGATAATTCAGTGAGGAGATAATTTTTTGAGACCACGAAGCCTCCTAATATCTTAGAAAGCTCAACAAAAAAGGCCTCCAAATAAAATATGTACTTCTACTGCATGTAAATTCAAATCTCCAATTGTAGGTTCACTCTGCAAACTCGCCGCGATATCCCATTGCTAGCCAGCTTTCTTTCATGTGACAAATCCAGCTGGGCTGTAGACCCAGCTTCACCCCCAGCCATAGGTAGGTAGCCGACGAGCACTGTAGTGCTACAGAAGAACACTGAGGTGTTCAATGATTAAGAACTATCGAAGGACTTGGAGAATTAGATCAAGTTGGGAATTGTGTAGAATACAAGCATACCTTCTTATGGAGATGGCAATGGAGATTTTGTTGAATAGTTTTTAAAATGAGCAATAAACTTTAAATTGAAAATAGATTCTGATTTACGTTCTTAACATAGTTACAAGTTTAAGTTATGAAATTTGTAATTTATGATTCTGCAACTTTCGTTTTAGTAGAGATTCAAATGCATAAAACACTAATATTACTGAATACTGTAGACAATTGATTTGAGCATTAAGTGATACTCAATATTTCCCTACAATTTCGCTCTGTTCTCTATCTTTTCTTCTCTTCTTCTTCTTCCTTTTTTTTTTATCGTTATCAATTGGAATTAGTACTCATCCCCCTGAGCGAAACTTCCTGCTACAACATACTGTGTATGATCCTGTTCATGAAAGGTCCTGTTCAGAACATTGTTCCATCAGTATCATTCTAATTAATATAGAAATGAAAGTGTTATAGCCTTTTGGCATTGTCTTTGGATTTAGGTTGAGAGTCTGAACGGTATTATCTCTGCGTCCATTTTCCTACACTCCCCTTCAATTTATTTTCTTAATAAAATTTTATCACTAACCTATCCCATTATGTTCTAAAAAACCTTCTATGATTCCTTTTCCGATCTTCCCATATGCTCTACCCTGTCAAAATAGCTGATGAGATTTTTTCTTTCCTCCATTATGTTGCGTGGGTGGGTGGTATTGGTGGGGGCTACTTCAAAAAGTATTATAATAAAAATTGCATTGTATCTCATCTCTGAATTCTCGGTCTTAAGACCAATTTTGTTTTAGAAGCACTGTATTAGGAGTATGCTGTGGTAGTACTCTTGGTAAAAACAGAAAATTTTCAAAAATAGAAATGAATTAGAACAGAATGGCTTCTCTTATTCATTATTGATATTTTAATTCATTATTTCTGGTTTGAATGCAGGTGGTTTTGCTTTGAAGAAGCAAATGTTAGATGATAGAAGGTTCCCAAAATTGCACATCGACTTACAGCGCCTACTACAGGTAGTTTACCTTTCCATATATTCTTCTGTTACCTTCAAAGGTTTGCTGAGATAATTTCTACTCTATCATTTCTAATTTCATATTAGATGACCGACCTAGCCTGCTAGGCAATAGCTAGTCTTTTGAAATTTTATCTGGAATAGAGTAGGCTTCAGACTTGGAATCTTGATATAGAAACATTGGCCTGGAAGTTGAGTTAAGGAATTTTTAGACATCGGTTTGGAATATATAAGGCTACAATCCTCAGTTTTTCACGAGTTGCTGCGGTTCACTGAGAGCTTTGGTTCGATTGCCATTGCAGGTTACCACTAAAACCGAAAAGAAAAAAGTTCACAATTTAGATCTCATACCTCTGGTTCTTCTCTCTCTCAGAAAAACAGATCCCTCAGGTTCCTTTATATAGCGTAGGAAACTAGGCTGCCTTAATGCAGAGACTTTAATTCCTTTATCTGCAGTACAGGAGAGAAGCGAAGATCCACATAGTTCAACAACCATAACTCCTCAATGCCCTTTTTGGATCCAAAAAAGAAATGCAGAAAGAACTGAAGAAAAAAAGGGAACTCCGGGAGGCAAATGGGAAGTGAGTGTTAGTGTGCGAGGTGCTGTGGACTCTGTTTTGTTTGTTATCGATAGATTCCTTTACCGAACACTTGGAGAAAATAGATTTTGCATACTCGTTGAAAATACAAATTGATATGTATTCACTTATATCTGTCAAAATGTAGGTAATTGCTAATGGAGAGCAAGTATTTCCCCGAGTCAAACAAAATTGTTTGTCAAAGGATTGGTTTGGGGCTGAAGACATTAACTCCCTGGAAGAGTTAATTGGACGACTAAGGAGACTGAAGGAAAACGTTGGATTTATAGCGAATCGTGTCACTGCAATTCAGGCCGGTCTTGACAGTTGGCAGGCCGAGCAAATAAATAGAAAATTATACTACCTCTCCTTCCTCTCTATCATATTTCTTCCTCTATCAATAATAACTGGAGGTCAGAATTTTGTGCAGAACTTCCCTTCCTGTATTCATGTTTGCCTAAGCTTAAAAAGAAACTTACTTATTTTTAGTTAAAATGTACACATTTACTCATAAGTGAAGTTTTTATGCTTAACCAAACATGCTTTTTTCTCGTAAAGAGTTGAATTTTCTAATGTTTCATCAACAGTCTTTGGCATGAATGTGGGAGGAGTTCCTTGGACGGGGCAAAGGGACCCCGAGTTGAAGTATGGATTCCGCAATGTAATATTACTTTGCGCAGGAATGCTAGTGGTCATTCTTCTTTGCTTTATTTTCCCGGCTCTCTACAGTCGAGTGATGGCTTGGCAAAGAAGGCGAGCCTTAAGAAGAAGTTGGACTCTCAACCGGAAATTCTTCATTAAGAGAACAGTGAGTAGTGAAGAAAGAAAAGAAAGAGAAGGATACCTCCGGCTTTAGGCTCTATAATGTTCGTCTCATTCGTCCTCTTACAGTTGGATACTCCATTTGTTCAATTTATCTAAAGGATTCGTCGAAATTGGTTCTAGATACACGTTGTGTTACCATTTATTGTGGATATTTGGCTTTTTTTCATCCACTTTTATCTTTTATTTACTACAGTTTAGGTGGTTCATGTGAGTTTTTCAATTGTGGTTAGTTGTACAGATATTTTTCGGCTTTATATGTAAATCATACACGCCGATTCTTTTGATGTCTTGTGTTGCATTGATGCTTGTCAATTTTGAACTCCAAATTATGTATTCCATTGTGAGCTATTCTAGTTCTCATTGGAAGCCTGCTGAATGGTCCTTCTGCTTCCTGCCTACATAGTTTGACATGCAATGAGACCTAATTGGCTTCGAATTTTATAGTTATATATTATCAAGAGAACAAACAAGCGGAAAAGCAAGCGTTTGAGCAGAAGTTAGCTTCCGCTTTATGTAGCTCGCTTAAGCAAGGATGGAGATGTCCGGTGAGGATAGGCCGAGGGCCCTTGCACCTAAGGGAATATTGTAGCTGGGTACAAATACATCGGTTAAAGAAGAGTAGGCAGGATATAATGAAATCTATGAAACGACCTATGATTATACTAATCAACTTAAATAGAAATATAAGGCCCTTCTTACTTTAGTTTTCAATAAGTTCACTAAAGCACCCGTCTTTTAGTTGGTTCGTTCTATCTATTCACTTTTTTTTTTTTTTTTTTAAATATATATTTAAGGATCTCTCTTGTTCATAGATTTTGAAATCAAAGGCGATTAGAATTAGTTAAGTTATTTTAACTTCTTGGTGTTATAGCAAACTATGAGGGTTATACAAATTATTTATTTTTTTGCACCTCTGTCGAATGTAGAGTTGTTTAAAAATATAAGATTTACTTGTCTAGTACTTGTGTAAATTATTTTTTCTTTTTTTTTTTTTTTTTTTAAATATATATTTAAGGATCTCTCTTGTTCATAGATTTTGAAATCAAAGGCGATTAGAATTAGTTAAGTTATTTTAACTTCTTGGTGTTATAGCAAACTATGAGGGTTATACAAATTATTTATTTTTTTGCACCTCTGTCGAATGTAGAGTTGTTTAAAAATATAAGATTTACTTGTCTAGTACTTGTGTAAATTATGCATTTGTCATGATTAAAAAAGATGAATTCTACTTGCTTTCGTGGGCGGTGTTGCCATCTATTTAGGATATATTTTTTTATGTAATATTGAGCAATACTGTGTGTGCATAATATAATGAACAAAAATTTAATTTGTTTTCTGTTTATATTGTTCTCGATGTTAAGCTTTTGTTGTTAGATTAGCAACCCTGCTGTGTGTACAACAAGCTTCATATAGAAGCCTGTCAGAACACACAGGGGGTGCGTGGGGGTATTTTTTGGTAATTTTTTATTTACGATGAGTCCCATACATGAGAGTAATCTGACCAAATTTTATGGAAAATTTTCTGTACGAATGACTTAATGCTTAAATTAGTCATTGTGGAAAAGTCAAAATAGTTAATATTATTATTATTATTTTATTTTTTTTTTTAATTTTTAGGTGCATGAAAATTATTCATTTCGTTATGGTCAATCTTTTGATCTTGAAAGTAGCCAAGTAGGAAGAAAAGTCAAAAGAACCTTCTAATAGGGAAGATGGAAAAGAAATTAAAAAACCATAGGCGAGCGACGTCGTTCAATAAGTAAATGCTCAGCTTGGGAAACACTCCACAACTTCGTGTATTGTACGATAAATGGGCGATACGATATTTTTCTAGAAGCTTCTCATACGCACTATTTCTCAAAAATTTCTTCATATATCGTATATCGTAACTCGCCGGGAAAAAGGTTTTTCTCTTTATCTGCCATTTCCCTCATAAACCCTAAACCCAAGCACCCAAAAACCCAGTCACAGAAAGGTCTTTCCTCAAATGGCGACCGCCGTCCTCCTCCGATCTCTCCGTCGCCGTGACTTTACTTCTTCGCCTCTTTCCGCTTACAAATCTGTACTTCTCTATTTCACTCACTCATTTTCTGATTGATATTTTAATTATTATGTTCAATAAGTTACTTTATGTCTTACTTAATCTCTTTGTCTATGGGTACTATGTATCCATTCCATGCGGTTTCGTATATGTGACCACAAGTCGAACCAAAACAAAATACTTTTTCTTACTAGGTGTGATCCGTTGAAAATAGATCTAATTTTTCCGTTTTTTGGATTCCTTGGAATTTAGTTTTGTTTTATTCCGAAGAGTTCTGCTGATCAGGAGAATGGGGGGTGAAAAGCGAGAGAATTGCCTAATTTGGTTGCTTGTATATATGCCTCTGTGGTTTGTATTGGCTCAAAATATGCTCCTTTTAAACAAATTACAAAGATCTTTCTCTGTATTTATGTAAGTAATCTGCTGATTTGAGCATTAATATAATTCTCCCAACATTCAGTTGTAGTTTGTTTAGATCGCGTGTATTGATTTACTCAGAGAAATTGACTTCTGGCACTAGAGATTCATCTCATCTTGGTTGCACTTAGCAGATACTTTTTCTACTCCCCTCGATTTTGTTAGATTCCCTGCCTTTTTTTTTTTTTTTTTTCAAGTGAACATCCGCTAGTAGAGTGAGTATCTCTAAATCTGTAGAAGCTCATTCGTATCATACATTAGGGCTTGCAGAACTTGCTCTAATGTTTATTGAGATGTATCGTTAACTATTGTTACTTTTTTCAGGTGACTGTAAACAGCAAGCCTTCATGGGCTCTGAGTAGAAAGTGGGCAGGTCTTGCTAGGCCGTTCAGGTATATTGCATTTTATTACAGTTGCTCTTTGGCTTTATAATCTTGCCTTTTGGAATTCAGCGCTAATTCTGTTCTGTATACAGCACAAAACCTGCTGGGAACGATGTGATTGGTATCGACTTGGGTACCACAAACTCTTGTGTTGCTGTCATGGAGGGGAAGGTAAAATTCTCTATTTACAGTTGAATATATGCCTTATGCCTGTTAATTTTGGCATTCTCTTCTTGAAATTCATGTTGTTTGCAGAACCCAAAAGTTATTGAGAACGCTGAGGGTGCTCGGACCACTCCATCGGTGGTTGCTTTTAACCAAAAAGGAGAGCTACTTGTCGGTACACCTGCAAAACGTCAGGCTGTCACCAATCCAACAAATACACTTTTTGGAACAAAGCGTCTAATTGGTAGACGTTTTGATGATCCTCAGACACAAAAGGAAATGAAAATGGTTCCTTTCAAGATCGTAAGGGCACCAAATGGAGATGCTTGGGTTGAAGCCAATGGGCAGCAGTACTCCCCAAGCCAAATTGGGGCTTTTGTTCTGACTAAGATGAAGGAAACTGCAGAGGCCTATCTTGGGAAGTCTGTAAACAAAGCTGTTGTCACAGTTCCAGCTTATTTTAATGATGCTCAAAGACAGGCTACTAAGGATGCGGGGAGAATTGCAGGCCTGGATGTGCAGAGAATTATTAATGAGCCTACAGCTGCTGCATTATCCTATGGTATGAACAACAAGGAGGGCCTTGTTGCTGTTTTTGATCTTGGAGGTGGAACCTTTGATATTTCCATCTTGGAAATATCAAATGGTGTCTTTGAGGTATACAAAATTTCTTTGACAATTTCAGCTCGTTGTTCTATTTTGTTGTTTGATGGTAACCACACATTTTCTGTGCAGGTGAAAGCCACCAATGGTGACACATTTTTGGGAGGAGAGGATTTTGATAATGCTTTGTTGGAATTTTTGGTGAGTGAGTTCAGGAGAACTGAGGGAATTGATCTAGCAAAAGACAAGCTTGCTCTGCAGAGACTTCGAGAGGCAGCTGAGAAAGCAAAGATAGAGCTTTCTTCAACGTCTCAGACTGAAATCAACTTGCCTTTTATTACTGCTGATGCTTCTGGAGCTAAGCATTTGAATATAACATTGACTAGATCAAAGTTTGAGGCTTTGGTGAATCAATTGATCGAGAGGACTAAGGCTCCTTGCAAGAATTGTTTGAAGGATGCTGGCATTTCAACAAAGGAGGTTGATGAGGTTCTCCTTGTTGGAGGAATGACCCGTGTACCTAAAGTCCAAGAAATTGTTTCAGAAATCTTTGGCAAGTCGCCTAGCAAAGGTGTGAATCCTGATGAGGCAGTTGCCTTGGGAGCTGCCATTCAGGGTGGCATCCTCCGTGGCGATGTGAAAGAGTTGCTTCTCCTGGATGTTACTCCTCTATCTCTTGGTATTGAGACACTGGGAGGTATCTTTACCAGGTTGATCAATAGAAATACTACCATTCCCACAAAGAAAAGTCAAGTAAGCACATGCTGCAGTTCATGTACAATTTCCTTGTTTTCCTTTATTATGATGACTCATTTTTACTTTTCATTATTAAGATTTCTTTAACGTAGGATGCATCGCACCTGCTTTTATGCAGGCTTTGTCGTAATAGTTAGGCTTCGATTTTTCTGTTGGGGCTTCCTAAATGTTGTTTCTTTGTTCTCAGGTATTCTCAACAGCTGCTGACAACCAAACCCAAGTAGGTATTAAAGTATTGCAAGGAGAACGTGAGATGGCTTCTGACAACAAGGCCCTTGGTGAGTTCGAGCTTATGGGTATTCCTCCAGCTCCTAGGGGCATGCCTCAGATAGAAGTCACGTTTGACATTGATGCCAATGGAATTGTCACTGTTTCTGCAAAAGACAAGACCACTGGTAAAGAGCAACAGATTACCATTCGATCATCAGGTGGTTTATCAGAAAGTGAGATCGAAAATATGGTTAGGGAGGCCGAGATGCATGCCCAGAAAGACCAAGAAAGGAAGGCTTTGATTGATCTCAAAAACAGTGCGGACACCACCATCTACAGTATTGAGAAGAGCGTAAACGAGTACAGGGACAAAGTTCCAAGTGAAGTGGTGTCAGAAATTGAGTCGGCTGTGTCTGAGTTGAGATCCGCTATGTCCGGGGAGAACATTGACGAGATTAAAGCAAAACTTGATGCTGCAAATAAAGCCGTATCAAAGATTGGACAGCACATGGGCAGTTCTAGTGGCGGTTCTTCTGAGGGTGGTGCTCAGGGCGGCGACCAGGCTCCAGAAGCAGAGTATGAGGAGGCAAAGAAGTAGAGAGTTTTTCATTTTTTGTCGTTTGATAAAGCTTTATAGCAGGATGAAAATCTTAATTTTCCGCCATTGGATGGATTTAAGTATTTTTGGAATTTTGTATTTTTAGTTCTTACCACCTTTTGGGAAGGTTCGGTTGTGCATCGTATGGTTGGTTGTAGGGATTCTTGTGATTTGCACTGTATTCACGGGCACTACTCTTGCCTCGATGGAAAAGGTCGAGAATTGGGGTTCCTCGTGTTGAGGTGGGTTTCTTGAGAACCTTACATTAAGTCGTTAAAAATTAATTCTGAAAGGATAATTTACGAAATATACGTTTGAAGTGGGTTTCTTGAGAACGTTGGGTGTATTTAGTTGGGACTTTTGAATAATTTGATGAACTTTTTTTATGTGATGACTCTTGTGTACTTCGTGGATCTTTTATAGATTTGTATGAAATTAGTAGAAGTCTTTCGTAGAATTTTATGAATTTTCATTTTAAAATTTTTGTGGACTTTCGTAAAATTAAAGAGACTTTTGAAGACTTTAATTTAAAATAGAATTCACATAGATTTAGTATAATGATGTGAAATTTTCACATGTGATCCCACAATTTTCCTTTTCCTTCCCTTCTTACCATATAATTAAAAAAAAATTAAAAGAATAAAAAATTAAGACTTTAATTAAATAAATAAGAATCAAAATTTTATA